GAGCTTACCTGGAAGGAATCTAGCTTTTCGCAATAAAATACGGCACTGTGGCTAGAGGTTACAGCAGCTGCATGAAATAAATAAAGCAGTGTGTTTTTAATATAAGTACAGTGTGACGGCGAGTCACACCTGTGGCAACGCACCAACATAACAGGTCAGAAAACGTTTCAATCTTTGTCCCTCGGGTTAGGAAACTTCCGGTCAACCTGATCTACACGTGACTGGATTTAAATCATGTCAGCCCCCCCTTTTGGAAATTATGTTCTTCACCTCCTTTTGTCACTAGGGAAATCGCTAGACTTACTACGCTTCTGCATAATAGTCAAAAACCATGTCTTCCATCTATGCCAACCAGCCATTCCAGCTCTTGGCCACACCAACATATCAACTACCCAATGGCGAAAAGGTATATCTTTCTCTACCTCTTGTGAATCGCATGGCATTCTTGAAGATAAGCTGATGCACTATTATAGCCGAACGAGTTTGTCAATGGCGCCACACACATGGCATTGGCCCATAACCTCATGATTCGAGCGATGAACGCAATATACCTCCAAGCGCCTCACATTTCACCAGAGCAAGAGAAACCGTTCCTGAATTTTGCGGAGCTGTGGTGCCGGGTAGTCGAGCACCACCACAGGACAGAGGAGGAGATATTCTTCCCAATGCTCGAGGAGATGTCGGGAGACAAAGACGTCATGAAAGAGAATTCGAAGCAGCATGAAGCTTTCCAATCCGGTCTAGCTCAATTTACTAGCTATGTTCGACAATGCCTCAAGCACGAGGAGAAGTTTAATAGCGAAGAAATTGTCCGCAGCTTGGATAGCTTCGCAGCAACCCTCCAGCAGCATTTATCCGACGAGATACCCACATTACTTGCTCTAGAGCGATTCGGAGCAAAAATGAACGGTTTCCACGCCAAGTTCGCGGCCGAGGTAGAAAAGACGCAGCAGGAACTTGGTGTGCTGGCTGGAGCCGTGTTTGTGATAGCAACACATGACGTAGAATTCGAGGGTGGCATTCACACAGACTTCCCTCCAATCCCGTCTGCAATCACTTGGGGGCTGAAGAATCTAGCTTGGTGGGCACATAGCGATTGGTGGCAGTTCGCTCCGTGCGACAGACAGGGAAAGATGCGGCCGTTGAAGACTTAGCCGGCCTAGTATTATGTTAACATTAGCATTATATCTATTAAAATATAAGCAAGATTAAATGCCCTCGTTTTTAACGAATAAGTTTACAAAATAAGTAAAACGAGGGTTACCTATACTTATAGTTAACCTTCGTTTTACTTATTCGTAAACTTATTCGTTAGAAACAAGGGCATATTATCTAACAAATGATCTCTTGGGTTGTGCGTATCTGCTTACGGGGTAGGGAGCGTGGGTATAACTTACTACGGCATCTTAAGAGAGAGAGAGAGAGAGAATCACAATCCGGAGACTAGAATTATAGTCATCTAGGAACCTAGACACATCGACAGAATGCACCTGCTAAGTTTGAAGTCTCTATTGATAGGCAGTTACAATATCTCCGGACTATCTAGAAGGTGCCCAATGGTCAATTGTACACCTTCCCCAAGTCGTCGTTGAGTAACAACGATCGTGAATCTGGCGTAGCCGACGCCCAACTATCTTAAACGCGTTCGGTAGCGCCTGCCTGGCACGCCGTTCTAATGCACTGCAAACACCCTGCTACCCGTAGCATGGTGCATCATCTTCTTGCCATGTGTTTTGAAGACTTGCCCTCCTGCGCTTGAATAACCTGTCACGATCCACGCTGCCGTGATCCAAGACCTGGGCTACCTACGGTTACATGCGTCTGCCCCTGAAAGTACAAGACAAATAGGCTTTTTGTATATAGATATCACCTGCCTCGAGGTAGCAGTTAGAGTTATTCGTGCGTCAACAAGTATTCATGACCTACTCATACGTTGTTATCTGTACCGGAAGGCCTGTGGCATAACCCAACTTTCCTCTTAGGGCAATGAATTACTCAAGTCCTTAAAGTCCCCTTTCCGTGAAAACTTCAGACAGCAATGACGTATAAGAACACGAATTACATTGTTGAAAGCGAGGAAGCTTCCTCGCAAGACTAAGTGACCGATGATGCACTTGTAGTCTTCTCAATGCGCAGAGACAACAACAAATCAACGGACGTCATATATATGAGTGTAGAACATTCGGAAATTACGCATTTGATTTCTAGACTTTAGGCGCGGGCAAGCACATGAACTGAGTGACTTCCAGTATATTGAAATTACTCTATGGGTGGTGTACATAGAACTTAGTGTTGATGGTGCAGCTATCATCATGACTGCTTGAGTTGCTCGAAATTCTAACATAATTAGCCCCAAAGGTGATGCCCTCTAGGAAGATCTTAGGCACGCGACGTCTGGAAAGATGTAGCATAACGAGCCTTCCATCACTAAAGTTGCCCCTTCCCAATCCCCGGTAACACTCTTGTAGACATTGCCGAGCTGTACGATATCCTTTATAGATGACTCGGGATCTCTAAGCTAGCGGAACGGCTGATAGCCGAGAGTGTAGCCATATATAGATGTAGCTAATGGCTCGGTCCCGTTGATCATTAGATCAAATACATCTCGGTCGATTGTTGTTGGGTTGCCGCCTGAGAATGCTATAGTGTCGGATTCCCAGATCCCGCACTTATATAGATAAGTCTTTAAGTTGCGCGGGTCCCCGTGGCTACTTGGGTAGTATGACTGTTGGCGTTGAGTGGAATTCTCGCCACTAGGGACCTGCGCTGGGCACACCAATGAAGGCATTTCACTAAAGCCGACGTATGCGCCCATGGTCCCTGCAATGATCCCAATGAAAAGCCCAAGGGTGTATGATCCGTCTTCATCCTTCATTGTAAACGTGCGGGATGGCGATTATGTACAGCAAGAACCCTGATTATGATGTAAGTCAATGCTGCCTTTGGCGATTCCAGAGTGCGGGTGGAAGTGATAGACGATGGACGTATAGGGAGTATCAAATCCGAGATTATAAGAACCTTCCAGAAAGTAAATGGAGAGATGGTGCGCTGGCATTAGACTCGGCGACTGCCTTGCCTTTTAAATAGACGAGAAGTCACTTAAAGGTTGATAGGGAGGTATCACATGTGAGAATAGTTCGGCCGCGTCTTCATACCTTAACCTACCATTCTCCTCCTCAAACCTAAAATCGCTAGCGATAGCACAGAGTTCTGACTAATGCTCCCAAGTCTTTAGAACAACCACAAGGGTCGTTTACTCCTAGGTTTTTGCCAGCGTTGGCAATTAGGGGGTACCCGTTCTTGAACCTTGCCAATAGCTGCGAGGTGGGTAGCCACGTTTTAGCGAGGCGTGGGCTAAAGAATATAGCTTGGTGGGTACATAGCGATTGGTGGCAGTTCGCTTCGTGCGACAGACAGGGAAAGATGTAGCCGTTGAAAACCTAGGCGGCCTTGTATCATGTTGGCATTAGCGATACATCTACTCAGCAGTGAGCAGGATCAGGCGTGGCACAATTTGCTAATTCGTTATCTACACGCTCCTCCTTGCTTGGCGTGCTTGTGGTGTGGGATCCGAGTAATTTTCCGGCGTGTTTCTGATCAGGCAGACTGTTGCTGGAATAAACTGGCTGGCCGGTCTCTAGACCCTCATTCTTGCCAAATATTTTTATTATCGTTGTATTGACTGTAAGATCACTCAAAGCGGATATATATATAGATATATATATGGTTCTTAATATTCGGTATCTATAGCTGGTGATGAATTCCTATTAAACAAGGTCTCAGAAACTTTCCCGCTGTCTAACATGGCCCATCCTAACACCTTAATTGTATCTAGCCTCGGCCCTCCATCCCCGAGGATTAAGCTTATAGGAAGCACCCAACTCAGAAACTACCTCATCACAGAGATCTCTCTCGCCGCTGTAGCGCTTTATATCGTAGGGCACTTTATAGTCGGGTTTATTACTGGCGCGAGGCTTCAACCTGATTATTATGTTATCTTTGCAGCATTTGTATTTCTCTTCATTAATAGCCAATCAAGTTGATCTGGTAGATACACAACCTAACTTCTGAGCGTCAACAAGGCTTCGACTATAACTACTGCTGCGTTTGGTCTTGTCTGTAAGTTCCTCCGACGCTAATAAGGGCGAGCTAGAGAGTGACTGATGCAACAAGCTGGAATTAGGGGTGCCGGTACCTATGTCTAGGCTGCTACACCGGAGAATATTTGACTCGGACTTCAGGTGAGATATTAAGTGCATGCTGCACGCGGACATGGGACTCTTTAATTAACATATTGTTCACTTGTATGGATATATCTATGAATTTGCTTGGGGCATGAGCGTATCGGCAACAAAATTTTCTATTATTTTGTTTAGTATCGCATTTTTGTTGTATAGAGTTAGACATTTAGGTAGGCATTTGTTGTTGATTCTTACACTAGGACTCCTATTGTCCACCATTGTTGCCAGTGTCACTTTATGTTAGACAGCCTTTGTTGTATTTATTACTGGCGCAATTCGACCGCAGGGTGCAAGGGCACTGCAATGACACCGGCAATGATGCCACTTTTCTTTGCTCGTCACCAAGGTTCTGAATGCAGCTCTTGATGTCACTCTTCTTGCTATGCCGATCCCCTTGAAAGCCCTGTGCAAGTTGAGCCAAATAAAATGTAACTTTTAAATCAATAAATATTTAGTTGAAAATAAACATGCTTTTAAGAACTTACTGTTTATACGCTTAACCGATATATGATTTAAGCAGGGTGATGTAGGACTAACAGGGGTTTGAAAAAATCAAGGGGCTGCTGGAATGGCATTTAAAGGGATGGGAGAGGGTTTTCACCTGAAGTACTGGTTAGTTAACTAAACAATATTAAGTAAGCCTTTGAAATGCTTATGTAGATGCTTTTCTCTTTAGCAAATGAGGAATAGTTGAGTGAAGCAGAAGTTAACCACTCAATTGTTAAATAAACATAGAAAATCAACAAAAAAGTAAACAACTCTCCCGAGCGTGAGTCGAACACGCGACCTGTGGATCTCGCAAGATGATTGCAATTACATTTACAGTTACAGTCCATCGCTCTACCAACTGAGCTATCAGGAGTTGTTGGTGACGATTGCCTTCTTAGTTAGGTAAATAGCACAAATTTCCACGAGTCAGAGCTTACCGAACAAGCCCAGACCGGGGTTCTAACCGGGGTCACGAGTGGTGGTAAACCCCTGCTAGTGCTACTGTAGGTTCTATGGGGTACAAGCGAAATGGGCCGAACTTCCTACCACGTATGACTGTGAAACCATGAGTTGCTAGAATGTTGAATATTAAGCTCATATTACTGACGTTTCTAGAAACATCATACACAATGGATAGTATGTCAGTCAAGCCCTACGACAGCTAGAGGAGTAATTGAGTTCGTAACAACCAATCTCAATTCTATGAAGTGCCAAGCCCAAACAGCTCCAAGGACATGGTCACGATCTTGGTATTACTCGCCAAGAGCACAATTTTACCACGATACAACACCGACATGCCAATCTCGACCGATGCCAAGTTGACCGGGAAGGCTCAGTATTTCCTGGACGGGCAGGCGATAGCTTTTTCCAAGCATCTTAAATGTCAACTTCTCCAAATCTTCCCCGCCACGCGCCTGACGTGCTCCTAGCCAAGTATGTTGGCGATACCTGTACCTACCTGGATAATATGTAGATAGTGTAAGGTCTGATAAGCCGTGCTGGGATGAATATTCGTACATATGGTACAAATACCCGCCATGGCCTATCTCTCTCGCCGTCTCTCGTCTCGATGTCCTACCCTGGTATCCGTTGTTGAGCGTTACTTCGGAAGATAGCTCACCATGAAGCTCTCGACCCCCGCGTCGCGTCTCGTTGAGGCCTTGGTCCTGCTTCAATCCACGGCTCTAGCCATTGAGCCGCAACGACAGCCGCACCAGCCCACCGGTAATGGCCAAAAGATTCTGACGTGGAATGAGACGTTCGTGAATAACCCATTCGGCGCAAGCAGCATTTCTGTGAGCTGGCTGTCTGGGGGTGAGGATGGACAATATGTGAGTATAGAATGAACCCATACTACTCTCCTAGCCCAATTGAAAGTTTTAAATGGGAATTTGAACAAGTTTCGTGTTCCGTGTACTTCTACGACACTACTGGATCGTTGAGACCTTAATCACAAGTGTCAATGGCTAACTCACAGTTCCTAAAGATCTACCAAGCCGATGATGGGGCCCTGATCCTTGAGAATTTTATTACCGGGGAGTCTTCTACCTTCGTGTCCGCCGCCATGATCCCTGACGGATTGTGGGAATACTGGATTCATTCAGACCTGTCAAAGGTGCTCTTTGCTACCAATTACACTAAGCAGTACCGCCATTCGTATTTTGCGGATTATTCTATTCTCGATCTCGCTTCGGGCACGGTTACTCCGCTGGTAGACGACCAAGTTGGTGACATTCAGTACGCCGAATTCGCCCCTGTTGGCGACGCGATCGCATTTGTGCGCGACAATAATCTCTTCTTGGGCCTGAATGGCACCATCTCCCAGATCACGAATGATGGCTCTCCAGACCAGTTTAACGGAGTTCCCGACTGGGTGTACGAGGAGGAAATCTTTGGTACTCGTTCGGCTCTCTGGTGGTCTCCCGATGGCGAAAAGCTCGCGTATCTTGGATTCAATGAGACGGGTGTTGATACCTTCACTGTTCCGTACTACATGAACAACATGAAGATCGGCCCTGTCTATCCCAAGAACCTCGATCTCCGCTACCCCAAAGTTGGCACCAAGAATCCGACCGTCAGTCTAACTTTGCTCACGATCGGTAGTAATGACAAAGTGGCCATTCCTTTGGATGCGTTTGACGAAGACGATCTGATCATCGGAGAGCTCGCATGGGTCACGGACAGCCATGACAGCTTCATTTATACCGCTTTCAACCGCGTGCAAGACTTGTCCAAACACGTTCGTGTTGATATCAGCGATGATGTCACGACAGAAGTAGTACGAGAGCGCGACGGTACAGATGGATGGCTCGATAACAACGTCGCTATACAATACGTTGGGCCCGTCAATGAATCTAGTACTGCATATTACGTTGATCTTTCAGACGAGTCAGGCTGGCTACACATTTATTTATATGCCGCCGATGGGTCAAGCTCGAAGGCGCTCACAGGCGGAAACTGGGAAGTTGTGAGCATCCTGAAAGTCGATACGTCACGCGAGTTGATCTACTTCACATCGACCGAGCATGACAGTACGGAAAGACACATTTACAGTGTATCGTACTCGACTGGCGAGAAGAAGGCCCTTGTCGATGACACGGTAGCAGCATCGTGGAGTGCATCTTTCTCCTCGGGCGGCGGTTACTATATCCTCAGCTACCGTGGCCCTGACGTCCCATACCAGGAGTTGTATGCTGTCAACGACACCACGACACCTTTGCGCACCGTCACGTCAAACGAGAACCTCTGGAACAAGCTTCAAGAATACAAATTGCCGAAAAGCACGTATTTCAAACTGAAGCATCCAGATGGTTATACAATGGATGTGAAAGAGGTCCTTCCACCTAACTTCAACCCCAAGAAGAAATACCCCGTCCTCTTCACTCCGTACGGCGGCCCGGGTGCCCAAGAAGTCGACAAGCTCTACGCGACACCAAATTGGAATGCATACATCTCATCAGACCCCGAACTTGAGTACATCACCTACACAGTCGACAACCGCGGCTCCGGATACCAAGGCCGGGCCTATCGCTCGCTCGTCGCTTCGCACCTAGGCGAGTTCGAAGCCGAGGACCAGATCTGGGCGGCGCAAGAGCTAGCCAAGCGCAACCGATTCATCGACGCAGACCACATCGGGATCTTCGGGTGGTCGTACGGCGGGTACCTATCTTCCAAAGTCGTAGAGGCGGACTCGGGGGTATTCTCCCTGGCGCTGATCGTAGCTCCAGTGAGCGACTGGCGGTTCTACGACAGCATGTACACAGAGCGCTACATGAAGACGTCGCAGATGAACCCCGAGGGCTACGCCAAGACGGCCGTGCGCAACGCCCAGGGCTTCAAGGACATCCAGGGAGGCTTCATCATCATGCACGGCCTCGGCGACGATAATGTCCATTACCAGAACACGGCGGCGCTGGTTGACCTTCTTGTTGGCGCGGGCGTGCCGCCGGCGAAGATGCAGTGGCGCACATATACGGATTCGGATCACTCGATTCGGTATAATGGCGCCTATACGTATCTATTCAAGGAACTAACGCAACTGTTGTTCCGGGAGAAACTCAGAGACGGGGAGGCGGTTGCTCACCAGTGGACGAAGAAGACCAGGATCGGATACTGAGAGTATCGTCGGATGTAAACTACCACGTTGAATACTAGCACTAAGCTTTTTGTGAACGTATAATATAATCATATCCTATACTTCAGCCCATCAGCGCTAGTGTATTCTTAGCTCTAACTGCTGCGCCTCACACCTAGCTTCGAAGGCCTCCAAGTTAACTTGTCTCGTCACTGATTCATTTATACATGATTGCGATGCCTCGAAATGATTGATATTTCAATCCTATATGCAATATCTCCATAGAGCTTATATTCTCCTTCGTAAGCTAACTTTTACTATACCAGTCCTTAGAGATCAGCATGTCTCCACCGGCTTCAAAATCATTACTACCTTCTGAGTCTAGAGAGGCGATTACGAGCGAACTCACAAAAGCGGTAGATGCATACATACTGTCTGATAGGCAAATAGTGTGTACAGATAACGTCACGGCCAGAGAACATGGTGCCACTTACAGAGCTGAAAGACGCGAGAGTTATCCCTTCATGGAATTGGGGTTTGCACGCTCCGACGCCAAGCTAGAATACTCAACAATCAATGACGATCTATTGACGACTATACATAGCGGGATAGAATTGCCCTGTTTAGATGCTGAAGGCTACATCGTGCCCGACAGCCAACAGGAGCCTACCGAGCTTGCCGCACCCAACACAATTTCTCTAGCTGTGAACGACCTTAATTCACCTAGGTGCAAAGTACCGCTTCATAGCGCTCATGGCGAAGCGGAAGACCTCGTGCAGGTCGATCGGACTCGTCAACAACCATTTTTTCTTGATACACCATTCAGCCGAGTATCCGTCAATGTTGATTTCCTCCCGATAGAGCTAAATACTCTCTTTGGGGAATCTTCATTCCAGCTTTCAAATGGCGAATCTAAAGACTTCGCATCGGGTAGCCACAGAAATGATTCGGATAGCCAAGAACGTAGCCCTTCAGGATCCCAGAGTAGCTCAGATAGTCGAATTCACATTGAGACGGAGTCCAGCGGTCTGCGCCCCGAGGGTACCTCGTTTTTTGAGCTAGATACGAAAACCTCAAGGAGTTTCCGGAGATCTCGATCACGCTCGCGCTCGTATTCTCCAGATGGGGCGATAAGGCAACGAAGAATGAGTAGACTTGCAACATGCCAAAGAGACGTTCCCAAGCAATCCAGATATACGGACACACCATTCCCTTCTTATGCAATAGCTAACGGGAGCCGACTTGACTTCTCACCAGACAGTAGTCAACGTCGTCGCCGTCATCGTCGTCGAAGTCGAAGTCGAAGTCAAAGTCGAAGAAAAGCTGAGAATCGACGCTCTGTCTGTATCGGCAAAAGCCAGTCTTCTACCCTCACACCAACTTGCGAGAGGCTGGAGAATGAGACGGTCGGGAAGGGCCAAATAGTCTCTGAAGCAGGAGTCGCGCCATTGCGTCACATCAAACTTATTAAGCTTCTCACCCTAGAATACTCCGATCAGCAGAGCTCGGACGGGCAGCGGACTCCTGAGAATAAAGAAAACCAGACTCCAATTAGCGCATGCTTAGACGAATTCGTAGTAGGAAGCACTCCTCGTTTTGTCGCACTATCATATGTCTGGGGCAATGACATTCCAAGCACAAGCATCGATGTTAATGGCGAGCCATTTGCGATTCGTGACAATCTAACGTTGGCACTGAGACAGCTGCAAACACTATGTCCAGATACGTACATCTGGACAGATGCGATCTGCATCAACCAATCCAACGAAGAAGAGAAATCACACATTGTACAGCACATG